TTGGGATTTCTACGGGCCGAGGCTGGGCCCGAACGCCAGCCTGGAAATCTTCATGTTGGGCCAGGCGGCAGTCGGTCCGCTGGCTCACCTGTTCATGAACGAGTTCAACGTGATGGAAAACTGTGACGCTCGATGTGCGGTCGACCGATACTCGGAGAGGCTGAAAGGTCTCATAAATGGTGGAGTCCGGAGGCTCGGGATCGGGCTTCAGGCCCACTTTTACATACCGAATCGGGCCCTTATCCGGGCCACGATCGACAAGCTGGCCACTCTCGGGCTCCCGATTTGGATGACCGAGGTGGATATTAGCAAACGCCTTGATCCTCAATCACAGGTCAGTATAAGAAAAAAAAAATGCACAATGGCCGAAAATGATCAGGCCACGCAGCCGATCATTTTTGGGCCCAACTCATGACCAAATCTGATTTCAATTTTTTTTTTTTCTTTTCAGGCAAAATATTTGGAAGTGGTTTTAAGAGAAGGTTTTTCGCACCCATCCATAAACGGGATAATGCTTTGGATGGCACTGCACCCGAACGGAGAAGGATGCTACCGAATGTGCCTAACGGACTACGATTTCAACAATCTCCCGAGCGGCGACACAGTGGACAAGCTGCTCAAAGAATGGAAAACAGAGAAAATCAAGGGCAAAACAGACAAGCGTGGCAACTTTAACTTCTCGGGTTTTCTTGGGGATTATGAGCTGATCGTCACTTACAAAAACCGGACATCTCGTACGAGGCTGTCCTTAGGCCGTGGTGTCGAGACCAAACACTTGAATGTTTATCTGTAAGCACATTACACATATGTAATGATCATATATAGCTGATCTGATCTGCCTCAGTAGAGGATTTATTATATAAAAGCATGTGTTTGCAATTCAAATTTTTACCTTTTATGTCAAAATTTGGGCTTTCTGGCTTTGGTTAGGCTCAAAATGCACCTAATGATATACACAAGATAGCCTAATGGTTAGGCTCAAAATGCACCTATTATAATAACAGAAGGCCAAAATTTGTTCTTTTCAAGGTAGCCTAGAAATGAAATGAAACAAACCCTAATAAAATCTTGAAAATTCTAATTAAGACAATCCTGATAAAACAAGAATAAAAGCAGCTCCAATTGAGACAGCATAATGTAAAGTTGAGGTGCAGTGAACCCCAGGGGAGTCCCCCATAGCCAAACCAGCTAACCAAGATCCATCTGCCACCATTGCTTGAGATCCTGACCCGGATGCTGGATCTTGGTTCGACCCTGTGAAGCCGAATCCGGGTCCTGACCCGGACCCACCCATGGTTGGGTCTGATGAGCCTGGTAAAGAACCATCATAACCAGTGGTCCCAGGTGGTGACATCACTGTTGTTGGAGTTGGATCTTTTGTGGATTTTTGGCTGCAAAAGTATTGCTCAAGATTAGTGGCAATTTTTACTATTTACTGAGCTTTTTTTCTAAAGTCAAATTGGAAATCTTTTGCAAGATACTTTGGTTAACAAAGCAATTACCTTAAAGATAAATAATATAAAATATATAAAATAAAAAAACAGAGCAATTACCTTTGCATAGAGGGGCAAAAAGTCACAGTATAATCGGCACCGGAGCAAGTGAAAGTGCTAGTCGAGTCATCATAGGCATAGCTGTAAGATCTCGGGCAAGCCGATTTGAACATCTGTGAATAAACCGACGGCCGGCAAGTGGCCGGCGAGTTGAAAACCCCGCTACAGCAATACTCGGGACTCCCGAAAGCCTCACAAGCGCTCTTGCACGCCTGCCCGCCGCCGAACCTGAGCTCGGTCGGGCAGGCTCGGTTTAAATCGGTCAGGCAGCCGGTCGAGGCGCACGTGCCGGAGGAGCCGCCGGAGGGCTCGACTATCATCGGCAGGTTGTAACCGTCCACGAGGCTCACGTCGTAAAAATCAAGCCCCCCGTTGGTTCCGAGCGTGAACTCCGCCAGAGTGGCGGGCGGGGCGGCGCCGAGCCCGTTGCATTCGGGTTCACCCGACCCGCAGTCGCCAGTCAGGCAGGAGATCTGGCCGGAGACGGAGGACGTGCAGCCGGTCCGGGCCCAGAACCGGCCGGACCAGCCAGCGGGGGCGGGGAAGGAACGGGTGGAGTCCGGCGGCAGCTCGAATCCGGTGGTGACGAGTGTGGGGCTGCCGGCGTTCGCGAGTATGCCGGGATATACGGTGGACTCGCATTTGTTTACGAATGTGAATGTGGCTCCGAATGCAGCTGTGTAGCAAAGGGAAAAGGGATTGATTGAGGAAAATGAAGATGAAATTGCAATAAACAGAATTGCAAAAATCCGAGTTCAAAGATCAAAACTTTAACTACAAATTACAATAAGGTGAAAGAAGATGAAACAAAGATTTAGACATTTGTGATAAAACCCATGTAAAAAAAAAATGAAGTCTTTGAAGGAAAAGTGGCAAGCCAACAAAAATAAGCAACCATCAATGTAGCTAGAAATTGAAGTTTTAAGGAAAACACAAAAATGTTACAAAGATTACACATTTATGATAAACCCATGTCTAAAAATTGAAGTTTTGAAGAAAAAGTGGCGACCCAAGAAGAAAAAAAAAAAAATAAAAATAAATCAATGTGGCAAGAAATTGAGCTCCTATTGTAGCAGGCCTTAACTCATTACAAGAAGGAAGAAATTTAAAGAAAAAAAATAAATAAATATACTGAAGATGAAACATTTATGAAACCCATGTCTGAAAAAAATTGAATCTTTACAAGAAATGTGGTAAAAACACCCACAAACAACACAAACGAAGCTAAATAAAACTTTTCTAAAGCAAGTTATACCTCTGGAAATGAGGAGAAAGTAAGCAAAAAGGCTGAAAATTAAGAGGGAGTCCATTAAATTGCAGAGGTAAGCTGCTTTCCCCTTCACTTTCCTGTTGTTTTTCTTTACCTTACTCCAATTAATCCAAATAGAAATTAAGTGAAT